TAGCAAGTGGCCTTGAAACTCCCACACACACCTGGCACTGGCATGGCCCGTTTGGCTCAGTGCCCACTTTGCTCTCGACCCTCCACTCTGCACCCAGCACAGCCCGTTTGACTCAGTGCCTGCTTTGTTCTTGCCCACCACTCTGCACCCGGCACGAATACACCCGGAACCAGGAAGACACCTTACATTCCAGAAACCCAGACATACCTGTCCATATAAGCAGCAGCCCTGTAGCCTGCAATGCGACTCCCATTGTGGACTGTGGGACTTCGCCCAGGCTGAGTTTTTTCTCCCTAATAAAGCCTGTTTGTTCCAATTCGACTGATTTGATTTCTGGCACCTCTCAACTACCTTACAAATATAATATATATACATCTCAACCGTACAATTGTGCTTACTGAACCCTCAATTAGCGTTGGGGGACTGGCTCACTCCAACCTAATATTACAAGTGTCAAAAAGAAATGGAAGGCATAAAGATTGATATCCTAGGCATTAGTGAGCTGAAATGACTGCTATTGGCCATTTTAAGTCAGATCATCATATGGTATATCACACCAGGAATGACAACAAGAGGAATGGCATAGTATTAGTGATATCTTTCAGTTCAATGCTGTCTGTGATAGAAAAATAACTATGCACATAAGGAAATCCAGTTAATACAACTATTATACAACTTCAAGCACCAATCACTAAAGCTAGTGATGAAGAACTGAATAACTCTACCAACTTCTTCAGTGTGAAATTGTTCAAACATGCGATCAAGATGCATTGATAATTAATGATGACTGGATGCAAAAGTTGGAAACAAAGGGAAAGGGACAATATTTGGAAAATATGGCCTGGGTGATAGAAACGAAGCTGGAGATCACAGGATAGAATTTTGAGACCAAGTTTACTGCATATTTTTTAAAATACTATTTTATACAGTAAAAGAATTCAAAAATATACATATTTAGAAATGTGCATATTTAGAATATATTCAGAAAATATAAACATATTTAGAAAACTATTTTTCTAAAACATCAGCAGTGAGTATACATGTGGACTTCACCAGATGGAATAAACTGGAATCTAATTGACTCTCTCTGTGGGAAAAGACAACGGAGAAGCTCAACATCATCTGCCAAACCAGAGTGCCTGAGTGGCTGTGACAAAGCACTCAAAAGTGGTGCAGATTGTGAGAGTGGTGCAGAAAAGCGCAATATTCCTTCTGTTGTGCACAAAGACCCTTCGTTGTAAAATCTAAACCTATTGTTGTGACAGGCTGTAAGTGTGCAGCCAACTTAATAGCACCTCACAACAGGTACAGACTTTACAAGGAGGGTCCTAGTGAGGTCGAGGACTACCACTTGGCAACCTCTCTTCCACTTATGCAGTGACTTTCGTTTGCAAAGCCATGTAAATAATGATGGAAGTGGTGGTGCATGCAGGCCAAAGACGTAACAGAATGGGGGTGGGGGTGCCAGGCAGTTACCCAGTGAACTTCAGTTGTTCAGAAAAAGAAGACATTTGAGAAGAGCCTTAAATTACTCTGTTTGGTGAAGGGGAACAAAACACCCAAACGAGTGATTTTTGAAATTAGTTTCAGAGATATAGCTAGGATCTACACGTGTGGTTGGAGAACAGTATTCCAGAAATGAAGTAAAGAAGAAAAGGCAGGACTATTGAAAAATGTGAATTGGACGTGAAGGAAGGGCCCTGGTTGTGCAGTGGTTAAAGCGCTTGGTTGCTAAGCGAAGGTCGGTTTAGACCTGCCTGGAACTCCCTGCCTTCAGGAGAAAATGCAACTGTGAGCTGTCGCCAAGATGGTAACTCTGAGAAACCTACAGGGCAGTTCTCTGTTTACAGTCACTAGGAGCTGGAATCGCCTCGAGCACCTCCTGACAAATTTAAACCTTAGGGCCAGCCACTGGGGCGTACTACTGTGCAGGCAGTGGATAGAGAAACTTCCAGGCATCAGCAGCAGAGTACTGGGAAATACAAGACAGTGTCTACTCCACAGAGAGAAGGGGCACCTTCTATCTAACAATCTGCCTACCAGAGCAAGGGCTATCATTTTGCTTAAACGAGGGTAAGAAAGTTTGCTTAAGAAAGTGGTAACTTTAAAAAAAAAGAATAAATGAATCACTACCCAAAAAAAGTGGTATCTACCTACTGGAATCCCTAGGAAAAGTTGGGTTTTTTTAAATCCATAATCTGGTTATACCCTAAACTTTTTTAACTAAATAAAATATTAGAAGATAGGATTTGACATACATATGTGTGAGTTCCAATGTGCAGCCTGGGCTAAGGACCACTGTTTATAGTTATGAACCCAGTAATGATTGGCACTTTTTGATTGACTACATAAGCCGTGTCACATCTCTCAAACCAGTACCAACTACAGTGATGCTTATAGACAAAATGACAGCTTTAGTATTGGCACCTACCATACACTATGCTGCATCCTGAGGGAGTCAGGATCCGCTCAATCTCTCCAGTTAGATAATACATCCCTTCTTTTTGTGAGTAGATGTTTGAAAACTGGAGTTTACTTCAACATTCCCTCCTTACAAAGGAATTTCAGTCCTTCCAGGGAAAATGAGATGGCCCAGTAAGGGTTTCTACCAACACTTCTCTAGACATTTGAGAAATATGTGGTTAAAATTTAACCTACCATCAAGTGAATTGTGACTCATAGCAACCCTATTGCAGAGTAGAACTGTCCCTGTGGGTTTCTGAGGCGGTAACTCTACGAGAGCAGAAAGCCTCCTCTTTCTCCCATGGTCACTAGTGGTTTCAAACTACTGACCTTGAGGTGAGCAGGCCAACTCGTGTATACCGCCAGCTCTCCAGTTGGTAGCGGTTGGGAAATTGACAACAAAAGCATGTCATTAGAATTGTCAAGCAACTGGAGTCAGATGACACCTTTTTTTATATAGAATCAGTTCTACAACTTTAAACATCATCCTGGGCATCCTGAGATTAAGCAAATGGGAGATGTCAAGATTGGACTAAGGCTGGTGAAAGAAGGTGTGTGATAGTTCAAGAGTCGAGAATCAAAGACGCCGTGAAAAAACCCCTGGCGATCCTGAGGAACAGGACAGAAGGCTGGGAAGCTAGGAGGGGCAGCAAGGCTGCAGGACAGGTGAGGTGCAGGTCACATCCTGCGACACGCAGCCCTGAGTCAGTGGATAAACGGTGATGCATTGCCCTGGAACTTAGTGACTATTTCGAAAGGTGAAGACAAGAGAACTATCTTCCACTCTTTGCGCTACACTTCTAAGCCTCTGCAAAGGTAGGCTGATATTAAATATAGATTTATACAGTTTGTATGTAAATGCTTCTACGTCCAGTAATAATGGTTTTGGGTTTTTATATTTTAGCACTGAAGTGTTTATGTATGTGACATGTTAAATTGTACTATAGAGGATACAAGCATTCTAATTTATTCTTTAACCAATTCAGATTTTCACCTATTGAATTTTCAGGACTTGCTCACGTCCATAATTTGACCCATGGGGAAAAACATTATCTAACTACAATAGTTTTGGAATACTTCATGAGCAACAGGGAATGAATTCCTACACATAAATGAGCTTCCTTGTTTTCTCCCTCTCCTTTCAAGAAATGAATGACCTTTCTCCTGTAAGGCAAGGGCTGGGAGGACAACCTGTGCCAGCACAGAGCTGCTGCATGGATCTTGTGAACTGGTAATTTGCACTCTAGCACTTTTCTAGCTGTTCGAAAACTCCAGGAGTTGGCAATAAATACCCTGGTAATTTAGCGGGCTACTTTCATTTTGGGTGAAGTTTACGTGCAGATTGAAATTTTAATGCCTTCACACTACACATGTTGTCAGCAGTTGACCATGACCAAATCTGTATTACCGGCCTTGACCATGCTTTTCTGCCATTGGGTGAAGTTTCTGGAAAGGAAAAACCACCACTCACAGTGATTTGTTGTGGTGTTCCTCACGGTCTTTCCATACAACCAGCTCATGAGTAATCTCTAGCCTCCCTCCCACACGCAACCCAAAACTTGCATAGCCGGTAAAAACAACCACCACATTCAGATGATTACATTCTTGAGATCCTAGGGCATTGTGATATAGATCGTAGGCCCTTAGATGTGTCCTAGAGTTACTGCCTTTTTTGTTAACAACTTTTTAGCGTCTCTATGGCTACCCTAGGAAATTCTGAAAGAGTATTTTGCTTAAAGGATGATAGGACTTCCTGGGTGGCACAAACACTCACGACTGACGTTAGTTGAAGGTGAGTTCACCCAGAAGAAACACTTGGTCATCTATTTAGTGAGATTAGGAACCAGAACATTAAAATCTCAATACACACTTCTTTAACGGTGACAAAATTCACGTTATGAATAGGAAAGTTAATCCACTTTTAACTTTGTTTTGAAAATAGGATTGACCTTGCTACTGATTTGACTGTATTAGGTTAACTAAAACGGTTCAAGACCTCCCACCCCATTTTCTATGATTCAGATTAGAATCACAGTTGAAAACCGTTTCACATCACATGAAACAATACAGTCCTGTTAGCACACTCCCAATAAAACCATCTCTGAGAAGGTGGACTCCACCACTCTACAACGCACTTCAAATACCAACGGAAGCACATCCTCAGCACCCCGACTTGGGGTGCCACCTTCCCAGATAGAAGCCAGAATGGCAAGGGCCAAGTCTGATGGTGTTTTCAAAGTGCACGGTGCACAGGCAGGAATAACTAAGCTAAATTCTCTGTTACAAAACGATCATGTTAACTGATGACTGTACCATCCGATCATGTTTTAACATTCAAAGATGTAGGAGTCTCCAATTCAAAGGAGAGTTCCAACATTCTGCGGAAAACAAGAGGCCCAAACACTAGTTATAAAGATAGTCTTATAGAGCAACAATACATTTTCCACAGACAATCAAAGAGATCCTTATTCTGAATCCTGTTCTTATTTATCTTAAATGAGTGGAGATTTAAACTCAGACACAAAACACAATTTGAGTTATCTTCTCAAATTTTATTTTTTTTAAAAAGACAGATTTAAGATATGGTAAGAAATTACTAAGTTACTTTTTTTTTAATCTGCCAAGAGCTATAGTAATGGAATAAATAAATAAGATTTTTATTTTCAATGTTTATAGACATATTTATAAAAAAATGACTGAATTAGAACGCATTAAATGTTTCAATACACCACAAAGGGTCTTAGGCAAGGAAAGGCACATCATTTCCACAAGAAATAAAGACCACAGTTGGAGGTTAACAACCAGCCAAAGCTTTAGATCTTGTGGTTGTTTTCCTAGCTCTAGAGGGTCATTATGGTGGAACCTTCTTTATGGTAGTTAGCTGGAACAGACATCGATGACAGGGTGTTACTGTGACTCCAATGTAAGGTTACAAAATGAAAGCACTCCTTTAATAAACCTGTATGTGAAAGGAACAAAAATCCAAAATGGTTTGGTGGGACTGAAGCGCCCATTGACGTATTTAAGAGAGTTAAATGAAACAAAATACAACGAAAGATTAATCCTCTTGTTCTGAATGCATTAGAATGGTTTTAATTACAGGGTTAAAACTTCAAACACTTCATGTTTCACTTCCTTGCAGCCAGATGCTGTGTAGATGGAAACAGCTGTCATCTATCACTTCAGAAGAAGCTATAGGCCAATGTGAGGGAACGCATCATTGATAATTCCCCTGCTTGGCTATCTACAACAGAGGAAGTCTAAGGTTATGAAAAAAATAGGTTTTCCAAAGAAACTAAAGTTTCTAGTTGAACACATATACTTTTAATGTGAACGTCAACGAGCTATCAGCCTCCGATATCAGCAGAACCTGCTTTGGGTCAGTTTCTCACTACCTAGTTTTTCACAAAGGTGTGCCTCGTCGCTACTTTTTTAGATTGGTTTGACTGATAGAATCCTTCTCAGTCAATGGTATATATTTTGGTGGTATTAAAAAAAACCAAACAGCTATTATGCTATTTTTCATATGTGTCTTTGTGTATTTAAGTGCATTTCTCTATAAATAAAATTTATTTTCAGGATAAAATGGTATTTCCAGAAAAAAATAAAATTAAAAACATATGGAAGGGAGGCAAGGGCAAAGGATAATGAGAACGGCAGGTGGAGCAAAGGTAGCCCCTGCTGCTCACGCCACGCGGTACGCCTTCATTAAGGTGTACTCTTTCCGGTTGGTGTGGGCGGCCCAGATGAAGAGAGCAGAAGCCATGAACTGCAAGGGCGCCGAGACACAAGCCAGGCAAAAGGACCAACCAAATTCACCCGACACGTTCTCAGGCAGCCCCAGTTTCTGGTGGAGTAGTTCAATTCCAGCAACATAACAACTTACTGAGCCAAGTGTGCACAGACCTGGAGGGGAATAAAAAACAAAGCAAAAAAGAACACAGTAAGAACTTTCCAGAAAAGGCAACACATCAGGAATGGGTGGATGGTTAAAAGTTGTAACTCTTTGGATGCTAAGGAGTTAGGAGGAAGCTACACGCTAACTAGGATGAAACACCCACCTGCAAGGAGATGGAGAATGCCCGTGGCGATGGTAGGATATAAGCTCCGGCAGATACAAGCACAAAGTCCAATCAAAGCCCCAAAGCACATCAAACCTAGACTAACGAAGGGTAAAAGGAACTGGCAACGCCAAAGATCTGGTTTTAAAAGAACGAATAAGAAATGTTATGGTGACTTCAATACATTTTCTCAAAATGACAATTTCCTTCCTTTCCAATTAGATCTATTCTCAAAAGTTGAGAAAGGAGCATCTCAATACTGAGGCTTCTTTTCTAAAATACCTTGTGCAGAAGGATGCTTTGTCCGAATAAAAGTAAAAAGGACAAATAGCTAAGAATTAGTGCACTCTTAACATATGACAAAAAAAAAAACAACTACATGACCGGCACCACTCTACACAAACTAGGTACAAATTAATCCTCCCAACAAACTTAAGAAGCGAGTACTACTACCACTTCTTTTCATTAGTGGGGAAACTGAGGTAAGCGACTACCTTCTACAAGGTAAAGAGCCAGGATAAATAACGTGCACAAAGCACACTGATGGCTCTACACACAAAGAGCTAAGTCCTTACAGAAGGTCCCAGTTGGAATAACAGTAAACGAATGGTGGACATAAATCACTGCCTTGCCGGGCTGTAGAAAGACTAGATTACGCACAGCCTTTCAAAGCACAGGATCTGGCATCTACCAAGCACTCAATAAAGAGCAGTTTCAATGAGCCTACACTTCCTCAGCAACACAGAAAGAGAGCTGCTGACCTCGTAAAGCATAGCATTCCATTGCCAGTTAACTATCAGCAATGTATCAATAACGATCGGAAAGCCAATTCCACCTTTGTTGCTGGTTTTATTGTCTGGAACTACACAAAAGTCTGTTTCTAATTAATCTTTCTTCAAATTCTGGAAATAATAAACTTCTTCCTATGCACGCACTCCAATTCTAAAACTGAAGTGATCCCATTTACTGAGTGTTCCCTCTCATTACAAAGCAATTCTTCCTCTAGGCCAATGCTAGTATGTTTTTATAGCTCAGAAAACTGACCGTTGAAGACAGTACTTCCTGGACAGCCTGACTACTGAGGTATAGACCGTTCTTAATCTTACCTTTTTTTTTTTTTTAAACACTTACACCTTCGTTACTACCAGCCCTATCTGGATGAACTCGTCTGACTGGCCTGATGCTCAACTGACTCTCAGAGCTTTGCCAACTTTTCACACCCTCCTTTTCTGAATTTCAATAGCTCAAAGGTATTTAACTCAAATAAACTTACGTTTATCCTCACCAAATTTTCTCTTAAAAACAGGCTTTATCAAAAACCTATCTTTTGTGGGCTGAATTCTGTCACCCAATGTTCTGTGTCTCCCTCAACTTCATTAAGTTTCAATTTGGTAAGTACATCTAATTCTTAAATACGTTCTCCACAGGACAGAGTGCGCTGCATATTGTTTGTGATCTCATTTTAAGTTGACACAATCTACTAACTCCCCTAGCTCCCAAAGCAGAATTCAACACAAGGAAAATAAAGTTGTTTTCCCTTTTTCCCACCCCAGTTTTCCTGCTGAGATTAAAGTACTCACAGGTCCGAAGTAGATCAATTCCACTATTGTGGTTCCCAGGGTCCACAAATTTCTCCAGGAACTGCTCATTTAGTGTGAAACTTGTGCATCTTGTGACCATAACAAGTGATTCTGCAATAAGAATAACTGCTTATTGTTTTAATTACAAACATTTAACAATCATCTCTTTCAGTAGTTTGCTTCTCTGAAGTAATATAAGATGTGCCCAAAAGAGTGAACAGCCTCTATTCCGGAGAGACACAAGGACTCATCGATGTCCACTGCCCATTGGAAGGCCCTGGCTCTCACTGGCAAGCGTTAAGACATATAAGCCCAGTGAAGGGGAAGGGGGAAGGAGGCAGTAAAAGGATCGAGAAAATAGATACCAAAAGGACTAGAAGAATGGGGGGGAAAAGACCAAAACTAAAATAATTAGGAACTTTAATCTCTTCTAAGCTACCTCACTAGCAGTCTTTCCTGTGTTAAGTAATGGTGATTCCACCTTCCCAGTTCAAGACCAGAAGCTTTACAGTCCCGTTCCCCACCCCCACCCCGGTCCACCTAATTAGCAAATCCTGTGGGTTCCACCTTGAGGACATGTCCAGAATCCATGGCCCAACTTGTCGGGACTACTACCTCAGTAACAACGATCTCTCTGAATTACAGGCAGTCCCTGGGTTACCCAAGACTTCCTGTGTGCGTCTGTATGTCAAATTCATAATTAGGCTGAAGCAGGAGCATACAGTTTTCATTTAGCCTTACTTTATCGGTTCCCAAACTGATTTGGCCTATCCCCGTTTCAGAAAAAATTACTCAGCACCCACCTAGCAATTAAAAACTTTTATACTATAGCCCATAATCCAGAATAAAGTGTAGATACCTGCTTTTGCAGTCTCCTGGATCATTCCAGAGCACCCCGAGGGCAGTACTGCCCACTCTGGGAAACACTGTTTTGGTGCAAAAGGAGTCCTGGTGGTGCTGGGATGCTAACTGCAAAGCCAATGGTTCAAACTCACGAGCCATTCCGTGGTAGATCAGGCTGTCTGCTCCCAGAACCAGTGACAAAGCCTCGGAAACCCTATGTAGGGTCGCTGTGAGGTGGAATCTAGTTGATGGCAATGAGTTTGATTGGGTGGGTTAGTGCCAGGATATGCTTGCTGCCTTTTCTATAACTTCCCTGATTTAAAAGGCAGCAAGTAAAGGTGAATCGTTTGAAAATGGAGCTGTAAGGAAGGTTTGGTTCAAAGAGCCCTGTGGTGCTGTGGGTCGCTATCAGTCTGAGCTGACTCGATGGCACCTAACAACAGCTGCATGCAAACAAGGAGTGTGGAACACCAATGGAGGGAACTGGTCAGTTTTTTTTACCACCCCGCTGACTACACACAAGCCACCTTGCAAACAGCAGTAGAGAAGAGAAATCCTGGAGGAGCTTGGAAGAGCACATTCAAGAACTCTGTCTGAAGTGGTGGCCACCAAGAACAAGTGCACCAGACTGTGGCAGAGAGACTCAGAGGAGCAGCACTGAGACTATGGGATTCCTTCTCCTATCTGGTCCAAGACTATGGAACTGTGGGACAGAGTGAGAGGTGAGCTGACTTCCTGGCCCATGGAGGCAAAGGCCTGAGGACCACATGACAAAGACTAAGAACCAGAAAGAGAATAGGCTACCATGTGGCTGAGAGATGGAAAACCAGAGAGACTTGGCTGCTGCTTAGGAGACCAATGACTGTATCCTTATTATGTCTGATCCTGACATGTGAAAACCTGCTAACATCTCTAATAAACCCCCTTAATTTTGAGTATGGTGGGTGAGTTCTGTGTGACCATTCTAACGGGACTATCAAACTCAGTAAAGATGGCATAGCAGGAACAGTTGGCATCAGACTAGGTAAAGAAGGGTGAACAATGGAGTTTTATCTGACCCCTTTCTTGTGGCAATAGGAAAGCCAGAAGAGGTCAGGTATGTCCCCTCCGCTGCCCTTCACCTCACCTGCAGAGCTCAGCATGACTTGTCCCATTGCCACTTCAAAAATCTTTCTCTTTACTGTCTCTCTCCCTTCATTTCCACCCAGTAGCTTCCTTGCTGATGCTTGAACATTTTACGCATGCTCCCAAATTCCAACTACATCAAGACTTTACTGAAATGGTACCTTTGATGTCCATCCTGACTATCCTATCTAAAATCATAACCTACACCAGCCAACATTCCCATCCTCATGATTTCCAAATCTCCGTATTTGACACTTTTTCCATTGCAAAGATTCTTCTAACATACTACATAATTCACTTATTTTACTTCTTGCCTGTCAGCCCTTAGAAATAAGTCCAAGAAAAGAAAACCTGACTGACAGAGTCGATTCCAACGTAGAGCCACACCACAGGGCAGAGTTAAACTGCCCTTGGCGGTTTAGGAGACGTTTCATTTTTTACAGTAGACTGCTTCATCTTTCCCCCTGAAGCAGCTGGTGGTTTCAAACTGCTAGCCTTGCAGTTAGCAACCCGAAGGGAACCCAGGACTCCCCCATATAAGGACTTTCTTCTTGAACTACGGTAACTCCTTTTCCCTACATATGATCACAACTATCCTCCTGATAGGTGGTAACTCCAGTTCTCCCACTAGGATTGATGGCATTGCTTCTCCACTAAGAGGCCAATAAATGGGCTCATAGATAAAAACGATTCAGGTGCTCCCTACAGAAATCTTAAAATTTTCATTTCAATAACGGGAAATTAAAATTTCTAAATGCTGGTAAGAATGCTGGCAAAATAAACCTGAGAGAGAACTTCTTAGATTTGTTCCTCCTTCTATACGCAAACACTTAATCTACATAATCTAAATCAAGATTGTTATAAAATAATCTCAAACATATGCAGATATAAATATGGAGCTGGTCAAAGACTATGTTCTATGACTTACGGGGCAAATAATAAGATACCTAGGTATCACTCCAATGAACATCACACCCACGGTCATAGAGTTAGTCTACCTCACAGCAACCCTGCACGGGGTTTCCTGGAGTGCAAATCTTTACAGGTGCGGACAGCCTCATCTTCCTCTCTCAAGGAGCAGGTTGTGGGTTTGAACTATGGCCTTTGCAGTTAGCAGCCCAATGCCTAACCCACAGTGCCACCAGAGCTTCATATTAGAATACCCCGAGACCACCCAGCAAGTCATACTTGCTGACTTGACTTTGGAAACTGCTTATTTTTCCAGCTACTCGATGCAACTCTTCCAATGTACTACTTCCCCACAACATATGTGAATTAAGTTAAAAGCCTTTCAGTGAGTGGATAAATGCACAGAAATATTCTAAATAGCTTTCCCAAGACCGGACAATTCCTTGTCCAACCGGTACTAAGAAGTATCACGGTAATTCATGGAAATTGGGGAAGGAAGGGGGCAGGCTCGGAGAAGAGAGACGTTTAAGCTTTATTTTCCACAGAGAAAACCCACAGGCCTGCTTACATGTAGCTGTGCCGTCATCATGTCACTTTGTTTTTGGTAGTTTTTTTAATGGAATAAGTAAAGGAGAGACACATTAAAATAAGAGGAATACCTGTCTTTTCTGGTGGGCTTAACCAATGTGTTCTTTGGGGGATGGAAACGCAACGTCTCCACAGCCCCACTGTGCCATTATGTCGGAAGAGAACATCGTTGTAAGTCTTCTCATCTGCCTCATCACTAATGAAGTCCTCCCAGGTGCTTTTGTTCAATTCGCTGGAATTTTCTTGAATTGGACTTCGATATTCATACCAGAAGTCAGTGCCAATTGAGGCTGCCATGTAGATGGTGGAAATGAGGCTAAGCACACACGCAATTACAAACGCTGTAGCAAATCGGTTATCCATTCTGGCACTCAGACTGCTCTGTTTAAAACAGGGGGGAAATCACAAATGTTAGAATTCAAAGACAAAGATGAGTTGGGAAAGAATGTCTCAAAAAAGCCCTTTATCCTATCCCCCCAACCCTTGGTTATTGAAAAGTAACATATAATCAAACCATGAAGGTAATGAAATAAAAAGAAAAGGTATGCAGGGTCTTAGTTATGTTACAACTCAAACTCATGATCAAGAAAGTACTTATGGAATGCTCACGTACCCAGGATGCTACGGAGACAGAGGTCTTGTTCTCTAGTCTCTCACCTGCATACTAAAACAGACAACACTGAAATGGACATACACATTACAGATACAAACAGACAAGCCCAGAGTCAGAAGGGTCCAGTGGTCACATTATAAATCACAGGCTGCATTTTTAGTAAGTCGCAGAACACGAAATGTTCTGGTTTCGAGCTTCGAAAAAGCCATAGGGAAAGGAAGCGGCGCCTCCCAGTTACCTATGGAATTGAGAGCCTCGTAACGCAAAGGTAAGAATCCGGAGCTACTTGTGAAGACAGTTGTAGATGTTTGCTAAACCCAGGGGTTGTTCCGGGAACAGGCACGAAAGACAAAGAGAACAATAACAGAGAGGAAATCTAGAGACAAATCTCCCCACTAATTCTCTAAAGCTTCCACCGGAGTTAAACCATGCGTCTTGGAACTGTCAGTCTCCCCATTTCAGAAGGTCTGCACCTGCAACTTTGCTAATTCAAGTAAAAACACTAGCCCACAAAACCCCAGTGATCCCTCCACACCCAGACCGAAAACTCTGACTTAAGCAACATGACCGCTCCCAAGGCGTGCTGACAGGGCTGCACGACAGAGGTAAATGGCCGCAGTAAAACTCCTCAAGACGGATCCAACGCGGCCAGTCTGCAACCGGGGCCGCACCACCCGTCTTACAAAGGGCGCCCCGAAAACAGGCTCGCAAACAGAGGCTGCGGAGTTTGGAAGACGGGAAGTGACTCACAACAGCTCAGGACAACACAGTAATTGCCATGACTGCACAAGTTGGGTCCGTATAATTATTTTAAATCCCCTTTCATCCCGTGCTTTCAAGTGACCTTCGAGGACCAGGCACCAGCAGGGGTGGCTCGCCC